CGGGGAGCGTTCCCTGCAGTAGGAGGCCGCCCCCTCCCTTGCGGGCGTAGCGCGGGCTGGAGCCATTGCTTAGGGAGCCGCTCGAGACTGAGGACATTACCCTGTGGGAGGCGAGAGCTGACGCGAGCATTTTGTGCCGGAAGCGCGCCGCGCAAATTTGATCAGCGTACGCGCTGGCTTTTCGGGGGCTGGGGGTGTGCCTCCGTGAGCCCCCGATGAAGGGGGGGTTGCTCGACGGGACCCACTGATAAGGAGGCGCCCCAAAGGGGGGTCCCCTCCCCTCAAAGTACTCGTGGGTTTGCGACAGCCCCCGGCTTTTGACCCCAGGGGCACGTGGGGAGCCAATTTTTGCCGAGGGGCCCAGTTAAAACATGGGGTGCCCCTGAATTTTGAGGGTTGGCGGGGTGTTCGCCCAGTTGTGGTCGTCCCCCAATTTTTTCATGCGTCGTTTGCGTTGCGGTGCGGGGCAGCGGTCCCCCCCCCGATGAGAGAAACGGTGGTTACCCTCCCCCCCCCCCCCCCCCCCCACGACCAGGCAGGGGGGGAGCGTCCCCCGCGTCCCCACGTCTGGACGACAGGATCCCCACGGCATTAAAAGTGCAAGGCCCAGTGCGCGGGGTGGGTGGGACGTGGGTGCTGAGCGATGTGTGCGTGTGCCGTGTGTGTGTGTGTGTGTGTGTGTGTGTGTGTGTGTGTGTGTGTCTGTCACGCCCCGACGCTGGTAGCGACTGGAAGGTCTTGCCTTGGCCGCGGAAGCTCGACCGCCGTCGCCTGTGCGACACGCCTCGGACGCGTCATGGACGTGTCCTGTGCATCTTCCGACAGGCGCCGCTCCGCCGCCCTCACCGAAGGAAAACGGCGCATCGCGGTCGGCGACGGCAGCGGCTGCAGCGGCTGCAGCTGTTGCAGCGGTTGCAGCGGTTGCAGCTGCTGCAGCGGCGACGGCAGCGGCGGCAGCGGCTGCAGCGGAGAGGGCAGCTGCTGCAAGGCCGCCGCCGACGGCAGCCGCTGCAGCGCGGATGCGGGTGGGGCAGCGGCGGCGGCGGCGGCGGCGGCGGCAGCGGGAGGAGGGGCGGCGGGGGGCGGCGGCGCAGCGGGCGCGACTCCCCCGCCGCAGCCTCCTCCACCTCCTCTGCTCGTGCTGCCGTCTGCGGCGTCCTGCACCGCCGCGGCGGCGGGCGGCGCTGCGGGCGGCAGCACCACCGACAGCTGCAGCGGCGGCGGGACTGCAGACAGCGGCGGCGGCGGCGGCGGCGGCTCCTGCTTCGCGCGAACCTCGGAGAGAGAAGCGGAGAGACGGGAGACCTCGGCGGACTTGCTCGCCTGCGGCCAATCAAGACTCGTTCATAGGTCACAACCAGTGGTTACTTCGTTAGTACTTCGTAGTTGGCAATGAGTGACTTCGGTGTGCCGCGTGCCGTGTGGGGTGCGTCTCGTCTCGAGCGCGCTAGTTGGGATACGCGGAGCCGTCTTCCGCTTCTAGGCCTCGAGATGCGGGGAGATACGGGGAGACACGGGGAGATACGGGGAGATACGGGGAGATACGGGGAGACACGGGGAGATACGGGGAGACACGGGGAGATACGTGGAGATACGGGGAGATACGGGGAGATGTGGAAAGAGATGCGAGTCATGATTAGAGGCGGGTGTCTCGCTAGCCTCCCGTGGCACTCGGCGCTGCCCGTCTGACCGGTCGATCTCTTGCCTGTTCTGCCCGTTCTCTCGACTGTCATCTCGACTGTCATCTCGGCTGTCATCTCGGCTGTCATCTCGGCTCATCTCGGCTGTCATCTCGGCTGTCATCTCGGCTGTCATCTCGGCTCATCTCGCGCCAGCTCGGAGGGGGAGCCTTGCCCGAGGGCGGTGCAGGTATGCCCGCGCTTTGGCTGGCCGCACCGGCGACAGCGGTACCTGTTTCACAGCGCGGTGCGTGTGAAGAGACGCTGTTCACAGACCCTGAGCAAGCGCCTCGCAGGTGTCTCGGAGGTGTCTCGGAGGTGTCTCAGAAACGTCTCAGAAGAGTCCAGGAAGTGTCTCGGAGGTGTCTCAAAAAGTGTCTCGGAAGCGTCTCGGAGGTGTCTAGGAGGCGTCTCGGAAGTGTCTAGGAAGCGGCCCCACCCGCCCGCGTCGTCCCCGTTCTTCTCGCGCAGCGCATTGGCACGCTCGATCCTGTTCCATCGGTTCCGCACCTAAGGCCAAGGTGAGGTCAGGTAAGGCACACATCTCCACACACACGAGGTGGTGGGGCGAGGGCCGGGCTAGTCCCTCGCGTCTCCACGTCTAACGGCAGGAGCCCCCCCACGGCATTACAAGTGCGGGGCCCGGTGCGCGTGGGTGAGAGGTGGAAAGGAGCCAAAGCGAAGGGGAGACGGTCTTGAGCAGAACACTCACAGCACCGCGTGAGCAAAAGGGGGGGGGGGGTGCTGTGCCGATACGTGGGGAGGACCGACCGGAGTGCAAGGAACACTGCATTCTGCGGGCGGGTGTCGCCGACGCGGCTGAGACGCAGGCGGCTAGGTCTCGGTCCCACGTTGGCCGTGTCTGTGAGTGTTTAGGTCTCGGTCCCACGTTGGCCGTGTCTGTGAGTGTCTGTGAGTGATTGATGACGGAGTTCGCTTTGTGCGGGGGGGACTCCGGGGATACGGGGGGGCGCAGAGCGGAGTACGAGA